TTGAAAAAGGTTTTAATTAACTATGACAAAAAAATTATACATAATTTGCTTTAATTTACATGTTAGAAATGAAAATTGCCAGGTTACAGAACAAGTAAATGGATGTTAAAAAAAAAAAAAAAAAGCCTTTTCAGTTTCTGCTAAATTTGAAAGCACACCAATTTCAGTTTTGAAGTTATTTTCCTCTCTCTTAATTAATTACCTACTGCAACATGTTTTAAATTTGAAGTTAGGCCTAATATCTTTGATTTTATTTTATTTAATTGCCATTTGCAAAATTCCTTTATGTTCATAAATTCTCCAATGCAGACAGTGTTTGTTAAAAGGTTGGCCCTGATAACGATCTGTCTCTGTTGTAAGCCATTTTAATTGACTTCAAACATTGATTTGTCAAAACAACACCCAGTTAATTGTTTACACCTGCACAGATAATAATATCGGCATTAATTTTCATGTATATAGTTTCAAAATGTACCATTAAAGGAAGTCACTGCTATTGTAGTATAGAGATGTATAATGCAAACTGCAAAATTCTGGTTCCTACATGTGCTAGAATAAAACTTTGCAAGATTTGCAAAAATATTGTAGCACAATAAATATGAATTTACAGAATGATAAGAGTTTATCAGTTTGCTATATGTATGCTTTCTTTTTCAGGTGTTGGCAAGATGGGAAGAGTATCAGAGTAAACTCAGGAATCAGAAGGTAAGTAATGATAAATAAAGTACTTATACCTATATACATATACATGTATTATAAATATTTATGATGTGATACATTATATCAAAGGAATGATTTTATATTTACAATTTATTGTCATTTTGACTGTATTACAGAGTTCCAAGAAAAAAATTACATGATGTATTTTAGAAAGTCACTTTGGATTACTTTATTTTGTGGGGGTACATGTATATTAATCTTCAAAATCAATTGTAGGAAAAGACTGTTGAGATTATTAAAGATGAGTTTCCCTTCACCAAGTATTTTGAGAATGCCCCTCAGCCTATATTTAAGGGAAAGTCGTACACTGAAGACATAGATATGGCGGAGGGTTGCTTCAGACACATCAAGAAAATCTTCACACAGCTAGAGGTCAGTAATGAAAGGAAATTCAGAGAAGAAATATACATGAACATTCAAACATTGTATGATTTTTTAGGCAGATATAGGATTTTTCAGTGTGTACAGGTATAGAAATATTTATTCCCTGTGTATTTTGTGATACAGGAGTTCCGAGCCTTTGAATTGTTGAGAAGTGGTGCAGATAGAGCTGAATATCTACTGATCAAAGAAGCCAAGATAATTGCCATGACCTGTACCCACGCAGCCCTGAAGAGGAGGGATCTAGTCTCCATTGGTTTTAAGGTAACAGGTTTACAGAGGGAAAAAAAATGCAATTTCACATTGTTGTTTCACATTTTTCAAAGTTCATCTTCTGATGAATGTTGATTTCTTTTATTAGTTTGACAACATCTTGATGGAAGAGTCAGCACAAATTCTTGAAATCGAAACTTTTATTCCATTATTACTTCAGGTATTGTACCAAATAAAAACTCTTTGTGCACGTGTTTTAATATTTCATGCTTTTATTTAATTAAGGAAGCAGTAATATTTAAAAATAGCATGTTTTGATGCAAATTATTTAATACTACTCAAAAACACTACAGTCAAACCTTACTATCTTGAATCTACAGAACCAAGATATATTAGAATTCAAGATAACAAGGGTTAAAAGTTAAAGAAAAAGTTGTTAGGACTGCTGAATCACTTTGACATAACAATATCAGTACTTGAGACAACAAAGATCTACTGTAAATGGATTGTCTCTTGACAATTATGGGATTTTATTGTTACATTTACTTTGAACACACAGAATCCTGAAGACAACAACAATCGTTTAAAAAGATGGATCATGATTGGAGACCATCATCAGCTGCCACCTGTCATTAAGAATATGGCCTTCCAGAAATTCTGTAACATGGAGCAGTCTTTATTCACTCGACTTGTCAGACTTGGGGTTCCCACCATTGACCTTGATGCTCAAGGTCGAGCAAGACCAGGGTAAGAAAATTCAAATACTATTAGAGAAAGTTTTTTTTATTTAATTTAAAGTATAATTTTGGCAACTGACCTGTTTAAAAGGAAAAAAAGTGTGTAACACTGTAATCTTTAGTTTGAATTACTCCAATATGCTTTTCTGGGGTTTTTTTTTTGCAGGATTGCCAGTCTCTACAACTGGAGATACAAGAAACTGGGAAGCTTGTCTCATGTGATGGTCAACCCTGAGTACAAAAAGGCCAATGCTGGGTTTGTGTTTGAATATCAGCTGATTGATGTCCAGGATTTTAACGGTGTGGGAGAATCGGAGCCCAATCCCTTCTTCTATCAGAACTTGGCAGAAGCAGAGTACGTGGTGGCAACATTCATGTACATGAGACTTCTGGGATATCCTGCCGAAAAAATCTCCATCTTGACGACGTACAATGGACAGAAACATCTGATTAGGGACGTTATCAAACAAAGATGTGGACGAAATCAGTTCATAGGTACACCCCACAAGGTAATGACTAGTAAGAAAAGTGTTTTGTTTCTTTGAATTTTTTTTTTTGGGGGGGGGGTGGTTAAAAATATCCTTTCATGGAATAAAATATAGAATATCTAATTTAACAATATTGTCTATTTGTCTGTAACTTTCAAATTTTGATTCGATTGCATCTCTTTGAAATAAAGTATGGATTTTGTTAAATTGTATCACTTTGGCATTTTGAACAGGTTATATTAATTTTTTTGTAAATAAATTTTCCAAGATAGTTTGGTTCTTATATTTAATATTTCTAAACGTATACCTGTATTTGGGTTTATTTTAAGGTTACCACTGTAGATCGGTATCAGGGTCAGCAGAACGATTACATACTTCTATCCCTTGTCAGAACTAAAACAGTCGGTCATCTAAGGTATAAAACACTTTAATTAAAAAAGTAATGTTGGATTAGATTTCTATGAAATAATTAGAATAAGATTTTATATAAAAAAAAAGTCAAAGAACAAATATTGTAATGAAAACATTTATGTTTACAGGATTTTTCGAATTTAAATTTTTATTACCTGGTACATTTAATACATTAAAATATTTTTACATAAAATATTACACATTTATGTTATTTAGTTGGAAAATTCCTGAATGTAACAAACTTATACTTTATATATTTCTATAACTTATAAATCCATCTGATTGTCTTCTAAAGAGATGTCCGGAGACTGGTGGTTGCCATGTCCAGGGCTCGGCTAGGTCTCTACGTCTTTGCCAGGGTCTCTCTATTCAGCAATTGTTTCGAGTTAACTCCTACATTTAACAAGGTAAGAGGGTTGTTTTTTTGCCCATCTGTACATTCTTCTGTAAGTTTTAAGAGATTATATTTTGCTAAGAATTTTATTTTATGGTCATGAACAAGTATATAGAGAATCTGATTTTTTGAAATGTTTTATGTACAGTATGTAGATATGAGCAAATAGAAATTATATCAGTAAAAATTATAAAAGTTATATGTGCGTATTATAAATCATGTTTTTGGACTTAACTTTAAAAGAATGGCCCAAATTTGAGTACATACATGTATAGTGTTTTGTTCTTTTATTCCATAGCATTTGTATTATTTATTTCTGTATTATAACAGTTGATGTCCAGACCCCTACAGCTCCATATCCTCCCATCAGAAGTGTATCCTCCAACAAGAAAGGTAAAACATTGTCGTAGTTTTTTAAAATAAAAACATTGGTTTTGATGGAAGGACTGGCTGAAGAGGTTTTAGAAATGTAGGGCCTGAAATGTGATTACTGATTACCTTATCATGCCCCAAAATTAAGTTTTAAATTTTCATAAGTATGTTTTTTACAGGTTTTTAGGCAGTTACATTTGTCCTTGTATCATATTTCCCCATTTTCTGACTCCTAGCTGTTAACATTTGGAAAGTTATTCTGAAACATTTACTTTAAAATCACTTATTTTTGTGAGGATTTAATTTTCTTTCTTTTCATGGTATAAAGAAACCCATGAATTTATAACTTAATATTTGTTTTGCAGATGCATGAACAAATCAGGGGTGAAGCAATGGTCATGAAAAACATGCCACACATGGCTCAGTTTGTATTTGATTTCTACAACCAGAAAATCAACAGACTAATGTCTCAATCTGAGGGAGGCAGACAACCAAAGGTAACAGCCTATTTATTTTACATGATACATATATATTAATCAGATAATCGATAGGGCTGTCAGATGTCTCTGTCTTTACTGGTGATTCTTTTATTAAGAAAGTGGTTGTGCTATACATTAGGTAGCAATTACAATATCAAACATGTATTTTGAGGCAGCAAATTATTCATGATTTATTGATTTTTTTTTCAGGATGAACCCCTAGAGGAGCCCCCTAAGAGTGAACAACCAATGGAAACACAGAAAATTCCTACAAAAATGGAGGAAGACAATTCAAGTTAATGTGGACTTTAAATCCATTTATTATTTGATTGAAGATAAAGAAAATTCATAAAAAGATGGAGGACAATAATTCAAGTTAATTTGGACTCTAAATTCATTTATCATTTGTAAATAGTCAAAGGAATCCATTATTTCATCTGAATAGACAATGTTCTGTCTGTTTTTATTGATATAGAAAATAACAATAAAGGACACATCTTATTGTATATCTTATTTTCATACACTTTTTTTGTTTTGTTGTGTTAACTATGGAGTACAGCTGAATAACAAAATACTATTTCAAAAGTAATTACTGGTACAAATTATTAGAAGTACTAATATTGGAAAATTGGAAAGGTAATTGATAATAAAGGTGCATATTTTCTTGAATGTACACCCTCAAAGAGTCACCCTTATTTCTGAAAGTCAAACGTGATCGTGCCAAGACTTCTTAAAATGTTCATCTAATCAACAGGTGAGACCTTGTCTTCAAGATATACACTATAACAGTCCTTATGTTACAGAGTGTTTGCAAGCATCACTAGAGATACATGTATTTATAAACAGTCACCTTATGGTATTCTTGCCCAATATAAAGATTGCTTTCATCATCCATACACATACCAAAAGGCTTGAACTTGAAGATGGAAACATCTTCTTTTGGTGTAATCAGAAGAGACAAGAACTGGCCATCCTGATCAAGGAGTTGAATCGTGTGACTGATATCATCACACACCAGGATGTGACCAGAGGCATCAGTGCACATTCCAAGGGGACTGAATTTTGACCCCTGACCTGTGTAGGTGAACCGGAATTGTCCAGATTGATCCAGCACAACCACTCCCATGTTGCGGTCTGATGTACAGATATCCCCGTTGATGTTTTCAGTGATATAGTGGGGGTAACTGTAGAGATTCTGTCCTGCAGCAGTCCTTTGTATATTTTTTGTTCCTTTCCCTGTCTTTGTGTACCTGGTGATTCTAGCCTCTCCGTGATGTACCATCCCCACCAGCAAGTCCCCATTGATGTGGGAGGAGTGTATGCTGAGTGGTTTCCAGTCTCCTGTTTTAGTGATCTCAGTGACATCATTTTCTGGTGTAATCTTACTGATGACTTTCTTGTCTTTGTCTGTAAACAACAGATCCCCCTCCAATGAGAATGTATGGTAGCCATACCCCCCACAGGTCTTTTCTGTCTGTAGTTGATTCCCCTGTAGATCTGTTTGGACAAGGTTACCAAATTCATCACTGATCCAGAGTCTACCTGATTTACCTATGGATAAATGGCATGCATTTTGTAGACCCAGAATGATTAAATCCATGACCATGGTGACTGAGGACAATTCAGATTTCTGTTGAATGTTCTCCTCTAACTGATCACTGGTTGGAGTGGAAGGGGTGAGCAGAGGCTCTGTTATCATTGGCCCTATTGCTCTCTTCTTTTCTTCTGTGTTTGGGACATTCATATATCCAAGTAATTTGACCACATCTTCTTTGTTGTACTGAGGGATAAACTCTGGTGTGACTGGTTTCGTGGTCTCTGGTATGGGTTGGATTTTCAGTTCCTCTAAGGAGAATGCTGAAAATAATTTCGTAGGGGACATTTGGATGGTGAACTTGTCCACAAGACCATTGAGATAGGTGATGTAATCACTTACTGTTTCATGATCAGTTTTTATTTTGTTCAGTAAAAGTTCTTCCATTTGATCTATTTCTCTGACTTTTTCTGATGTCACTGTGTCCACCATTTCTTTCAGAGACTCTGCCTCGGCCTTGGTGGAAGATCTTATGCTGTCCATGAGAGATTTTATTTCTGAGAGATCTTCATGAATTTCCTTTTGTAAATCTTTTGATGTTGGAAGAAAATATTCATAAATTTTTGGAATTTCTCCTTGACATGTTGAAAACATCTCCTCCAAAATTGGTCTGGAATTTGTAAAGATGTGACCTCGATGTTCAGGTATAGTAGTGCAAGTGGAACATATAAGAGCTTGGCATTCCTTACATAGAAGTTCTAAATCCTTGGTGGGGTGGATCTTGCATTTTTCTGTGGGCAGTTGTCTTTTCCGTAGTTGATATAGGACCACCTCATGTTTCTTTGTGTCCGGACTTCTAAGATGTTTTTCTTTGCATTGTTTACACATCTTTTGGTGACAGACATTGCAGTAGAATTCACAGTTTCTCTCACAGTCCTCAATGCCACACTCTAAGATATGTTGGGCTGTGCCTAGTGTACTCATTTTGGATAGAGCCATCTGCAATTAGTAAAGGATATTTTGTATCCTTATATCACTTTATAATCCTGGCCGTAACTTTTGTACAGTAAGTGGGAGTGATACATTTTTACCTTGGCTTTAGATAATACTTTAACATTGATCTCAATTATTGAACAATTATTACTAGGGCTTTCATATTTCATAGTGTATTTCTTGTGACAATGAATACCAACAGTTTTGACATTGGAATGTCCTATTTATTAAAAAACTAATGCCCCCATATGGCAACATAGCAAAGATCAAACTTCTCTTAAATGCAAATTAAATATGTTGGAAATGAAATTGTGTTTCAGCACCCTTGTCCTAGCACCATTTGTTCAAAAGTTACTGCCAAGGATTAGAGTTTTTGAAAGGTAGGTCAAACTCCAGGGTCAAGATCAAAGGGTTAAAATTATTGTTATCTAAAGAAGGGTCTAAAGAATCACATAAAATATGTTAAGTATGATTAAATGTGAAATATGAAAGTCATAGCTCCACTAAATTAAAAGTAATTAGGCAAGGTTAGAGGTTTTTGTGGGCTAATAGACAGACAGACGGATAGACACGACAAAAAATATATATTCTGAATCTTTGATTGAGGGGGGCATAAAAATTAAACTTCTTCATAACTTTGAACACTTGTTGCTAGTGTGATCATATTACAAATGTGTAATGGGCGGGTGGGGGTATTAATACATAACCTGTTTTCGACTCCTGCAAATAAATAAATTATCTGTCCAGAGACTTATGATCAGTTAACACACCCCCCCTCCACTGAAGACAGTTTTGGTGCCGTCTTTTTTGGAATTCACATTTTTCAGAAAGAAAAAGATAAATGACCTGTCTTGGATCCTCTAAAAAATAAATAATCTGCCCTTAACTTGTACAAAATAGATTATCTGACTCAAACATGTCCCCCCACCCCCATTCCGAATCTGTCCCATTATCTTGAAAAAATTAGGTAATCATTAAAAACCATAACCTGGGATTTATCAAATAAGAGGCACATGGGCCACATCGCTCACCTGAGCACTGTGGCTGGGAAAAAGTAGAAATTGGTTTCTTATTGAATAGTTTATATGCAAAAGTAGTGCCATGACCAATCATGGCTTTGCTATTCTTGATAATATGATTTTAAAAGAATTTTCCTATATATGTCTATGTAAAACTTTTGATTGGCCATTGTGGCCCCGCCCTACGCCAGGGGGTCATGATTTAAACAAACTTGAATCTACACTACCTGAGGATGCTTCCATATAAATACGATCAATTATGGCTTTGTTATTCTTGAAAAGAAGATTTTTAAAGAATTTTCCTATACATTTCTATGTAAAACTTTGGTTGACCATTGTGGCCCCGCCCTACCCCAGGGGGTCATGATTTGAACAAACTTGAATCTAACTACCTGAGGAAGCTTCCATTGTGGCCCCGCCCTACCCCAGGGGGTCATGATTTGAACAAATTTAAATCTACAATGCCTGAGGATGCTCAATTATGGCTTTGTTATTCTTGAGAAGATTTTAAATGAAATTTCATATATATTTCTATGTAAAACATTGGTCGACCATTGTGGTACTGCCCTACCCCCGGGGGTAATAAACTTAAATCTACACTACCTGAGGATCGATGCAACTATATAAATATGCTCAATTATGGCTTTGTTATTCTTGAGAAGAAGATTTTTAAAGAATTTTCCTATACATTTCTATTTAATCCTTTGGTTGGCCATTTTGGCCCCGCCCTACCCCCAGGGGTTGTGATTTGAATAAACTTGAATCTACACTACCTGAGGATGCTTCCATATAAATATTATCAATTATGGCTTTGTTATTCTTGAGAAGAAGATTTTAATAGAATTTTCCTAGTTATGTCTATGTAAAACTTTAAAATGGTCAGCCATTGTGGCCTCACCCTACCCCGGGGGGTCATGATTTGAACAAACTTGAATCTACACTATCTGAGGATGTTTCCCCATAAGTTTCATCTTTCCTGGCACAGTGATTCTTGAGAAGAAGATTTTTAAAAGATACCCCAAAATTTCATTAATTCCCAATTATCTCCCCTTGAATAAGGGCGTGGCTCTTCATTTGAACAAACTTGAATCCCCTTCACCCAAGGATGCTTTGTGGCAAGTTTGGTTGAAATTGGCCCAGCGGATCTGGAGAAAAAGTCGAAAATGTTTACGACGACAACGAGGACAGACAACTGACAAATTGTGATCAGAAAAGCTCACTTGGGCATTTGGCTAAGTGGGGTGTGTTAAAACTGTTAAGTTGTCTTTATCTTAATATTATTCTAAATTATGAACAGATTTTTTTTTAATTCATTTCAGTTCGCGGAAACTTAATATACCTGACAAAAAAGGCAACCATTACCTGTTAGATAAATAATAAACTATGCTTCATGTACAAACCTTATCCTTCGTGTCCGTGAAACGACGTACACGTTTCCGTCCAATTAATTTCTATCATGTATATTCAGAAAAACATGAAATTTTCCAAGATCGATGTGGACAAATGCAACATTTCTCATAAACTCACTGTATAGTTGTATTGTATAGTAATGTCAGAATATGTGCACAGAATAACCCCGTCCTATCACCATGATCACATTTCAATAATTTTCGTAGAAAACTATAAATGGCCCGTGGAAAATCCAGAAGGGCGAGAGCTGTATCCCTCTCTATTTTGGCCGTGAGAGGGAGAGGGGGGATTAACCTATAATTTTAAAGTTAATTAATAAATCGTATAATATGAAGTACAAAACACCTGAAAGTTTTGGTTAATATTTAGATATTTTTCATTTGACTACGTCAGGCGTGGATCGAGAATTTTTTTCAAATGGGGGGGGGGGGGGGGGGTGAAGCTAGGATTTTTAAAAGGGGGAGAGAAAATCATGTCAACTTATATTGGTTCGAAGATTTCAACGATTTTTCCCAAGTGCTTCTCTTAAAAATGCCCATCTGCCGTTTTGTTGTGTTTTTATGGATACTGAACAATGACATTGCCTTGTATAAAAAACAAATTTTACTTTTAAACTAGAAATCGACATCTAAGTGAGACAATCGATTTTTCAGAGCTCTATAAAAATTTAAGTACACAACAATATCAAATTGAACAATGTTGAACAATGCGTGCAGGATGCCTTAGATTTATAAAATAAAAATTTAAATACATCACGAGTATCATTTTTCTTTGACACTAACATGCAAGCCACTCTGCTACACAACTCCTGGTGACGTTTCCATAGTGTCTGTGATATGACTCATGCGACTTCAAATGTTCATTGGAAAGATTGTTTCATTGAGATATATATTTAAGAAAAAGTGGATCTTTGCTGTATGCTTTAATTTTGTAAACCAAAGAACATATAATTTTATACACGTTTTGGAGATAAATTTAAAAAAAAAACTAGAGGTACTGTGAGTAATAAGCTCACTAAATGATACCCCCCGCCTCCCGTATGAATATAATGGCAGTGTCCATGTTTTGTTATGGGAAACCCAAAATATTTGTCAGATCAAAAAGTAAAATAGGAGGTGCACAATGGCAATATGTGATAAAGATTCTGTGAACGTTTCATCAAATTTCAATGAGTGGTAGGTATGAGAGGAGTTGCGAATAAGATATGAGTACCCCAAAGCGTAAAAGACAGACGGACGGACATACCGATTACTATATACCCTTCCACTTTTCAAGCGAGGGGTAAAGTTAGAGCAATTAAGACCAAAATCATATTAAAAAAATGTTGTAATAAAATGAGAAAATGATCTTTCTTTCCACCCGTACTGTGCATTTTGTTGTAGTTCAATTCCTGTGAGATTTCTGTAACTGACGGAAATTTTACATAAAAGTATACTTATTAACTACATGTGGTTAAAAATCGAATTTTTTTTTCAGCTTCACTTTAGTCGCATAGGCATTTAACCCACATTGTTCAATTTGCCAATCCTCTTTCATAAATGTATATCAAATTAATTTTGAGAGTAATGGCTAGCCATTTTGAATAAGAACTGCACATATTTTAATTTGACATTTGCAATTAAAAGGTCAGATTCCTCTGCCCAAATTCCAAGAAATAATGACCACGCTTGAACAGAAATGTTCTACAAATAATATTCTTACTCTAAATTTATTGACCTCAAAATTGACAAATGATCCTATCAAAAAGCTCCGCCAAACACCATTGCTTGGCTATTATACCCATGGGAAAAGTGGAATTTCTCTTGTTATTGGCTCAAAAAATGTGGTACACCCATTTATGACAAAATCTGATGATTTTAGGTCTGAAATTTTCCAGTTATGAGCTAGGTATGATTTTGCTATATTCAGCTATATGGTAAAATATCTTAACAAGAGGCCCAGGGGCCACATCGCTCACCTGAGCACATTGGGTAGGAAAAAGCACAGATCAGGTCAGAACTGAAAAGTTTACTGAAGAGGTTTACTAAAGATGACTAAAGATGGATTTTTTCCTTAATTTTTCTATGTAAACTATGATCGACCTTTGTGGCCCCACCCTATCCCTGGGGAGGGGGGAGGGGGGTTTATGATTTGAACAAACTAAAATCTACGCTAAGGATGATGATTCCTTATTAATATCACTAATCATAGCTTTGAAGTACTTTAGTAGTATCTGTATTGGCTTATATATTACATATATTGCCACATATAACATTACTTTATATATATACATTGGTAAACAGGTGTCACACACTACAGGTGCTATTTCAAATATATAGAAAACAGAAAGAAAAAATGAGTAGCATAAGGTGTCTTTTGTATCATTAAAGCCATATATGGCGTATGTACATTGAAAATTATTGGACTAAAATTATAAAAACTTATTATTTGTATCATTACTTTATATAAAGATAGAACTTTTCCGTAAATTACAAAATCTAAGTCAATTGTGTTATTATGATATCACAATTTAATTTGGATACTCGGAATTTTCTCCGACTCGGAAGAAAATACAAAAGATTTAAATAACACATTAAAGAGAAGATAAAATCGTATTTTTAGATGAAACGAG